AGGAATGGAAGAAAAAGATGCAGTATTTTTACATAATGGAGTACTACTCAGCTATAAAGAAAGATAAACTCAAGGCGTTTATAGGTAAATGAATGCAACTAGAGACCATACTCATAAGTGAAATAAGCCGGATTTGCATGTGTGAACATTATATTGTCTCTCTGGTATAAGAAACTGTAAGAGCACATAAGATCCAAAAAGTATAATAGACATTGTGAAAGGGAAAGAAACTGCTCAAAAGGAAAGAACAACTGGGATGAGGAAAAGGAGAAAGAAGGAAGGAAAAAAAGAGAAGTATATATACCACAAGATAGCTAAGATAATTGTACTACTAATTTCTATTAGTTTATTGAAAGGAACAGTTAGTGCTTATATTGTTTGATCAATTTTGCATGCCTGTACCTGGCAATCTGAGCAACTACTTAGAAGATAGCAATATGCAATATAATAACCATTATTAATTTCCTATTATCTTGTTTTGAAATTCTGTATAATTTTATTGTTTTTTCTCCCTTTAAAAAAAAGGAATGCATGTTTTTATAACATTAAAAACATACTGTTACTACAACAGAAGTTTAAGAATAGGAAAAATAAATCTATGATCACAGATATCAGAGGAGTGGCTACCTCTGTCTGGTTGGCATAAGAAGTATGTCTTGTTCTGGGTGGTGAATACGAATTTATTGGGCTTTATACTCAAGAGTTCTAGACTTTAAATTATACTTCAAAACAAAACAAAACAAAAACAGGGAAAACATAAGAGCAGGGCCAGTTCCTGTGGCCACAGATTCTGACTGAATTTTTTTGAAGTTCCCCAACAGCTCTACTGTACGTCCTGGCACCACCTGGCATAGTCCCCCTTGAAGAACTTCCTCCTCTAAGGTTCCAGACTTAAAGCAGAAGCCAGCTGCTGGGTTTATCCTGGAATGTGCAAGCTGCAGCTTCGCCTCAGGAAATAGGTGCAGTGCTCCACTTTTATCTGAAGGAAGTCTTGCATGAAGCGCTGGTGCAGAAATGGCTGCTGAAGTTTCCAGCCTGGGGCAGTCTGTCCCTGTCAGCAGGCCTTCTCACAGTCTTCTCAGTCAGTCCCTGCAAGTACACCTGCTCTTGGCCGGGGTCCAACCTTGGCATCCCTTCTCTGCCCCTCGCAAGCCCCGCGGAGGAGGCAGGAAAGCTGTGATTGGAATAAGCCTCAGTGCAACTGGGCAAATAATTGTGAATGGAATTCATGCTTAAGACTTCTGGTTCTCACAGCTGCAGATGGGGGAGATCACCATGGGAATTCTGAGTATTGTTCGAGCTGACTGCAGCTTCCATTGTTGGGCTCTGATTACAGCTTTTGTTTCACCATAAAGTACAGTTATTAAATGCCAGCCAGGAACAAAGATGTATTTACATGCCAGGGGGTCGGTGAAGGCACGCTATTTTTAGAGCTGCCTCTGCAGTTCAGCTGGGGGTGGGACAGTTCTGGGGAGGGGAGCAACCTGGAAGCTTACAGAAGAAAGCAAAATGTTTCTGAGGGAGCCAGCGAGGACCAAAAAACGATGAAGCCAGGGGCTGGGGATTTAGCTCAGCGGCAAAAGCGCCTGCCTGGCAAGCGCAAGGTCGTGAGTTCGGTTCCCGGTACCGGAGAAAAACCAAACCAAAAAAAAAAAAAAAAAAAAAAAAAAAAAAAAAGATGAAGCCATCCCAGTCCTGCCGTAGTTTACTTGTCAAGTTATTTATTTTTACTTTTGTGAGCAGGAGAGAGGGCACAGGGTATATTTAAGGAGACAGCCTAATATCCCTCCACCCAGTTTGAGTCCTTCTTGAGTCCTTCCAAAGCAGTCTTTTTACTTCTCCAATACGAGATCCATAGGGCCTTGCTCGATAGCTGTGCTAAATTCCCCAAGATCTTAGATTCCAGTCCCACTCCAATCATCCCAATATGTATGAAAGTTTACAGCAGTCAAAGGACCTCTAGACTCTACCTACTGCTGTAGCCAGAGACTGTGAGTGTGTTATTGCCTTCCGTGGTCAAGCAGGCTCAAGAACTGAGCTAAATCACTTAATTCGATTGCTGACATTCTATGTTCTAGAGTTTTACATGTGTTATTTCAAGACTAAAGATGAAGCTCTGAAGTAGGATTGATTGCATCTCCATTTTACAGATGAGGAAGTGTTAAAGCATAGAGAAGTAAGGTAATGGGCCCAAGGTCAACCAGTTGGTTAGCACAGGAGCCCTGGCCTCTCATTTCCCTTTCTTGGTTTTTTTTTTTTTTTTTTTTCCTCCGGTACTGGAACCGAACTCACGACCTTGCGCTTGCCAGGCAGGCACTTTTGCCACTGGGCTAAATCCCCAGCCCCTCATTTCCCTTTCTTGGGATGAGGCCCATGACAGGGAGGGCTCCTGGTGAAAGCTATCACTTCCACACTTCTCCTCTTTGGGGGTCAGAGCACGGCACACAATCAACCCTCCAGAACAAATGAGGCATTTGTTCTCATGGTTGAACATTAATAACCTCTCCTGGGAAATGGTGAGACGGAGGAGAGAAACTGGTGGTTTTTGACTGAAGCAGGAATTCTGCTGGAGGTGGACAGGTAAGCAGCAGGTATGAGGAGGAAGTCCCAAAGGTAAAGGAACTTTGAAGACAAGGTGGAATTGTCCCTATAGCCTCTCCCACCTTTGTCTTCAAAGAATCTTCACCATCTAGAATTTACCCTACTTCAACACAGCAATTAGCAACATAGCTGTAGCCCTGGATGATCACCTTGACTTTTGAAAACCTTGTTTCAAGTTTGAGTGACATATTGGAGCATGAGTGCACATGTTTGGATGATAAGGCAATCAGTTCTCCTCAACTTTAGGACTTACCAGCATCCCCGAACTGCCAGATATGGTCAGAATAATTAGAGTATGACCTAATGTGGTGTCTTGTGCAGATGGAACTTCCCAGACCCCAGAAGATACAAGATTGATGGGGGTTTTTAGGGCCCCAGTGATGTTCAGTGGTTTGATATCAGGTCTATCCAGATGTTCAGGGTCAGGTTCCTTTCCGCATTGCCTGCTGCTCAGAAGACCACAAAGACTTGTTTCTGCCCTTTACCAGTCTTGGAGGCTACCATCTCCCCTGACTCTGATTTTGTTTTTCCTGCCACGGTCCTGGAATCTGGGCTATTTGCTGACCTGTTTGGAAGTCCTATCCTTGTACCTTGGTAAATATGACACAGGGGTCGTATTTACAGAGAAAGAAGTGCGTCAGACCCTGGGATGCACAAATTAGCTCCAGAAGGAGACTCTGGGCTTTCCACTTGTAGCCTGCCCTGGCCTGCTCTGGGTAATTACCAAGAACCACCCTCCCTATCTCTAGGTCATTCCCAGGTGTGTGAGTGGGCCCAGGAGCCTCCCAGTGCCAGCCACAGAGGCAAACCCCTATTTCCCTCCCCTGGTACTGGTTCAACTTTTACACCAAGAAATATGGAAGAATTGTTTTGAACTCTGCTGGATAGGACACAGAAGAACAAAAGTAGGTTCAGAGAGTGTTCAGTTCATGTTTAATTCTTGCACTGTGTAGGTTCTGATTTCTAAGAAGATGTGGATTTACTTCTGGAATTGTCCCTTTTGTTTGACTTTGGATCTTACTCTATCCATAAAGGGGGGTTGTGACATTCCTCATTCAGGAGATGTTTCTGTTCAAGGCACTAAAAAGACAGATGCGAGCAAAAGAGATAAAATCCCTGTCAACATGGAAGTTACACGCTGTGGGACAACCAGAAAACAAGATAAATATGGCCAAAGATCATAAGATCTGTGTCTGTATCTGCATCTTTATCTATGTCTGTCTGTATCTCTGTTAAGGAGAAAAAAATAAAGCAGCGAAGTAAGATGTAAAGAGTCCATGGAAATAGGGAGGTCAAATACTGTGTCAGAGAAGTGACCAGTGCTCAGTAATAGTCTGTGCATTTCTGAGTAAATCACATGGCTTCTCTTTATTTTGTCAATGGGGCTGATGTCTTTTGACAAAACAGGGCCCAGGACTAAGCATGTAGACAGAAATTAAGAAGTACTTTTGGCAATTGGAAGGCCAAGGCAGGAGGATCACTGCAAGGTCAAGGCAAGCCTAGGCCACACAGTGAGTTCAAGGCCTGCCTGAACTACACAGTGAGACCCTGTCTCAAAAAAGTTTTTCTTGAACAAAATATCATAGTACATTATATGTGCAAACCATGATGATGATGGTGGTGGTGGCGGTGCTGGTGGTAGTACAAAGATGTTTTAAAGGTAAATTTCAGAACCTTGAATTCAGATTCCTCTTTTTTCTTCAGATGACAAAGTGCACGGAATATTCCAGCATGCCTTAGTGCCTTCGCTGTGTCTTGAGTATTCTTGGTTTGTTCTTAGACTGTAATTTCAACAGGGGAATATTCCACATAATTTTTTTTCCTTAAATAACACTAAAGTACTGTTATGTAATAAGGTTCACCATCCAAAAAAAGGCTGAGGAAAAGCAAATAGCTCCCCTCCCTCCCCCTCCAGTCTGTACTTCCTGGTTGATCAGGAGCTATCAAGTTCTGGTTCTAGCCCAGCCTATAAGTACCCCTGGGATTAATTTGCTGTGTGTCTCTGGGCAGAGTGCATTACTTTTCTGGCTTCGCCCATGCTGCAGTGATTTGCTTCTCAAAGCCAGTCTCTGCAGTTTGTCATACACAGAAAAGAGCAGCTTTACACCGTCGGTTATGTCAAATTGCAATAACAATCAAGAGAATTATTCCAGGCCAGAGGGAGTCACGCCTCTCGCCTCAGTGGTCTGGTTTCAAGGTTAAGGTTTTCAGGTCAAATTAAAGATGCTAAATTTTAATTTTAACTTTAGATAAACAGGAAATGTGTGCTAAAGAGGTCTCAAATAGCCCTTTGGGAATCTTCTAGGGCCCAAACTATGCAAAGCTAGAGACTTCTAGATCTTTAAACCAGGGAAGGCCAAAATTCAAATGTTGAGAAGGATCAGACAGGTCACATCTGATTTTTTATGTGAAAACGCTTTATTTTTAAATGTCAGCCACATGTTCAGTAAAACCAACAAAACCCACCACATGGGTCAAAGGAAACAATCTGCTTTGGCCACTTTATGGAATCTGGCAAGGGCAATCCTTTTCTACTATTATCAGATAAGGAAAATGAAGATGCAGAGCTAAGGTTTCTTAAGACAACAGAACAATCATCCAGGCTGCTGAAGATGAGCGGCTGGAGAGCCCGCACCCGAGCATCCCATGGAGTTTCCTGGATTCCACGCAGCTGATTCCATCAGCTTATTCATCTGAGAGAACTGTGCGTCCTGCCTCAGGACACTGGCTGTCTTGTGTTCATCTTCACATAGGAAGGATGCTCTGAAAGATACTGATAAAAACATTCTGAAGGCGGAAGGATGTGATCTAGGCTGTGCAGGGAGAGGGGAAGGACACAAAAGGAACAAATATTTATTAAGAGTAGGGTATGCCATCTACTGTAAAAGGTGTGGCAAGTAATTCTTTGCTACCTCTTTGCATGTCTGAGTATTTCTCATTCAGATTTAAGCTCAAGTATCACTTCCTCACGCAACTTTCCATGACTATTCTCTCTGAAGAAGCCTCCCCTGAAACTCCTTCTGGAACTTGTCTCTCCATTACATTAAGACCTGTCAAAAGCCTGTAATCCTAGCCCCGTGGTAGGCTGAGGCAGGAGGATTGCAAGTTCGAGTCCACCCTGGGTGCAGGATCTGACCTTTCTGCCTCCAACTTTATATACACACCAGCTCCCCTTACCAAACGCAGGCTCCAAGAGGGCAGGTGCTTGGCACATTGTAAGTGCTCAACAATTACGTTAAACACTTCTAAATACTTCTGAGAATGCATCTGTCCTGTAAGAATTTCGGCTACTCCTCCTCAAATTTTTCTTAGTTTCCTGTTTCATTAATACCAAGTAGGAGAGAAAAATAGTTAAGAAGCGAAAAATTGGAAAGCAGAGCTATAAAGCACTTTTTCTCCAGGTCGCACCGCAGCCTCTTGCACGAATTGTGGGACAGCTTGCAAACTAATTCTGTACAAAGAAACGAAACCTATTTTTAAAGATCCCTGCGTCTCACAGCTCCAGGCGATGACATCAGAGAACCCGAAGTCCCACCTCCAAGTCAAGCCTCGTGGTTCTCAAGAACTATGAGTCCCGGCACACACCGCGGCGCAGGGGCCTGGCGCTCCTAGAGCGGCCCTCCCACCCGGCGCACCTTGGTTGTGCTGTGGAACCAGGAAGACGCCCGACCCCTGGCCCGCCACGCCGCTGGGCGAGCGCGGGGCCTGCCGGGACTTGTAGTCTCCACAAATTGGGAGTGTCCGCTACGGAATCTCAGTCGCTGTCTGCGGGCTGAGGCGGCGCGGACGCGCTTGCGCAGTGCGCGGGCGGGCCGTCGTGGGCGCCGCTCCCGGCAGCTGAGTGCCTGTGGGAGCCGGGGCCGCGGTGGCGCGGGTGCTCCGGACTGAGTCCCCGGTAAAGTAGGGTGTGTGGCGCCTGGCCGCGCTGGGGTGA